CTGCTGTTCAGTCATTTGGTCATCCCTCACTAACCCCCCTGCCAGCCTGGTCGCCCCATGCAGCCTGCTGTTCAGTTGTTTGGTCGTCCTTCACTAGCCCCCCTGCCAGCCTGGTCACCCCACGCAGACTGCTGTTCAGTCATCTGTCTGGTTGTTTCGGTAGTGACGACCCCTGGTTTTTTATATATTAGGATATACGAGGCTCCTAGAACCATGAGAAATGAAAAAATTCACTGTTAATGACTCATTCTCAAATTTCCCCCCCTTAAAAATCAAATTGCCCCCCATGTGCCGTGTGCCCACATTGGGAACTACTGAGCTAGTTGAATCCCCAGCCCAGCGGAGATGTGTGGTTGATGGAACCAGTAGGAAGAACAAGGCATGGGGCAGCTTTTATCCACATTCCCGAGCTCGGAGCTTGTGGGTCGTAGCTCTGCCTGAGAAGAGGCTCTGTCCACTAGAGGCACAAAATCCCTCATCTGCTGTCAGAGACCAAGGGCCGTCCGTCTGTCTGACCTGTGAGCCACACTAATGGCTTACACACACAGGGCAGTGCCTCCCACTGTCCTCACCTGCTACACGAATGAGAAACGTTATTTTCACCATCTCGGAGGTACTAGTACATCCCTCCCCAGGAGTCCTGTTTGTGTCCCTGCCCTCAGACAGAAGCTTCAGTTTTCGAACAGCCTTCCAGAATGAATTAAGTTTGAGAAACAAGGTTCAGTTGTAGTTTTGTCAGATTCTAAAACTAGTTGTGACGTACGACTCGTTACAGACAGTGAGAGCCATAAGCTGCAGTCTCAAATCCAGTGCTTGGTATTGCTGACTCTCCAGTCGCCACCCTCCCTCCTACAGCCCTCACAACGAGCACTCGGATGTCCTTCACGGCTCCAGGCCAGGTGCCTTCCATCCAGCGAGCCTGTAAGCTTTATGGATCAGGGTGACCTTCCCTCGTGGATGTCTTTCCATCTCCACTAAATGTGTCTTTCAAAGTCTCTAATTCCTCATCCTCCATGAAGCATCCCACAATGCATCCTGTCCTCACCCACCTCTCCCACATTCTGGGCTGTCAGAGAAAGCATTGCCCACATCCATTTACTGTCTCAGTGAGCACTAACCAACTGACATTAGTCAGAAACTACTATAATGAGACTGGCAACAACTAAAGTCTATTTCATAACCAGAGGAGACACCATTCACCCCAAAAGTCAGCTGGACTGTGAGTGTGAAGAGACACAAAAGACTCTAGAAGTACAACCACAGATGCTGAGAGCAAATGAATAACACCAGAGACCTATCAAGCAAGCTGTGCATCCTGTGACTGAACACTTGGTCACAGTCATTGAAACAGATGGACTATGACAAGATTGGATGTGAGGGCTGAGATTAATGTAGGAAGGAGAACAGAGAGGGAACGCCTAGAAGAAATGGGCAAACCGCCTATTTCTGCAAGGTACACATTATTTGCTATGCTATACTAGAGGCCTGGTGCACAACATTCGTGCACTGGGGGGGGGGGGGTGTCCCTTAGCCCAGCCTGTGCCCTCTCGCAGTCCAGGACCCTTTGGGAGATGTCCACCTGCTGGCTTAGGCTTGAGTGGGCCTAACCCGGCAGGCGGACATCTCCCTAGGGCTCCTTAGCGCTGCTGTGGAGGTGGGAGAGGCTCCTGCCACCACCGCTGTGCCTGCCAGCTGTGAGCCCGGCTTCTCCTGTGGGAGCACACTGACCACCAGGGGGCAGCTCCTGCATTAAGCATCTGCCCCCTGGTGGTCAGTGCATGTCATAGCAACTGGTTGTTCTGCCGTTTGGTTGATTTGCATATTAGGGTTTTATTATATAGGATTGTTATTGAATCACTATTAAACTACTTGGCAATTTTCATAGGGATTCCATGAGACCTTATGATGACATAATCCACCACAGATCAAAAATTGGGCACCAGTATAATCTAAAACACAGCAACAAATGTCACATACATTATATTGATCAAAAGAACCAGGTGTCCTGGCTGATGTAGCTCAATGGGTTGAGTGTTGTCCTGTGCACTGAAAGGTTGTAGGTTTGATTCCCATTCAGGGCATATACTCAGGTTGTGGGTTTGATTCTTGAGCATGTGGGAGGTAACCCATCGATGTGTCTCTCTCTCATCAATGTTTTTCTCTCTCCCCTTCCTCTCTCTCAAAAAAAAAAAATTTAAAAAGAATATATTTTTTAAAAAAAACAGGTAGAAAAGCACACATACTATACGGTCATTTTTATACTATAAATGCAAAAAGTATAAAAGCATGTAAAACTCTCCTAATATGTTAGAAATTAGGTCACCTTTGACGACCTTCTGTTTTCTGATAGGAGTCCTGGCAATGCGAGCCTGTACAGTTTAAAAATTCATTGAACAATATAATAATTTATATATATTTATTAATATAATAAAAGAGGAATATGCTAATTAGACTGGACGCCTTCTGGCCATCCTTCTGGACGTCCTTCCGGACAAAGCCACAGTGGCAACGGCCGAGGTAGAGGAGGTTAGGGTCAATCAGGCTGGCAGGGGAGCAGTAAGGGGGCAACCAGGCCAGGAGGAGTCCTGGCAATGCGAGCCTGTACAGTTTAAAAATTCATTGAACAATATAATAATTTATATATATTTATTAATATAATAAAAGAGGAATATGCTACTTAGACTGGACGTCTTCTGGCCATCCTTCCGGACGTCCTTCCGGACAAAGCCACAGTGGCAATGGCCAAGGTAGAGGAGGTTAGGGGCAATCAGGCTGGCAGGGGAGCAGTTAGGGGGCAACCAGGCCAGCAGGGGGGAAGTTAGGGGGTGATCAGGCCAGCAAGCAGAGGCAGTTAGGGGCGATCAGGCAAGCAGGCAGGTGAGCGGTTAGGTGCCAGCAGTCCCCGTGGGATTGGGCCTAAACTGGCAGTCGGACATCCCCTGAGGGGTCCTGGATTGGAGAGGGTGCAGGTTGGGCTGAGGGACCACCCCATGCATGAATTTTGTGCACCAGGCTTCTAGTATATTAATAAATGTTTTGAAAATCATTTGTCCCAGAATTTTAAAAAGATAAGCCTAAAACAAGATACCATCACATACCTGTCAGAATGGCCAAAATCTAGAACTCTGACAACACCAAATGCGGGCGAGGATGTGGGGCAACAGGAACGCTCTCTCATTGCTGGTGGGAATGCAACATGGTATAGACACTTTGGAAGGCGGTTTGATGGTTTCTTACAAAACAGAACATACTCTTGCCCATGACCCAGCAATTGCACTGTTGGGCATTTACCCAAAGGAGCTGAAAACTTATGTCCACACCAAAGCCTGCACACAATGTTTACAGCAGCTTTATCATAACTGCCAGAACTTGGAAGCAACCAAGGACGCCTCCGGTGGCTGATGGAGAAACTGTGGTCCATCCAGACAATGAACCATCCTTCAGCTAAAAGGAAGTGAGCGATCAAGCCTGACAAAGACATGGGGGTTGGGCGGTGGGACTTCCATGCATGTGACTAAGGCAAGAAGCTGGTCTGAGCAGGTTACATGGTATAAGCTCCAGCTGTAATGTGTCTAGAAAAGGCAGAGCTACGGAGGCAGTTAGGAGCCCAGTGGCTGCCAGGGGTGCAGGAAGGAAGCACCGAATAGGCAGAGAACAGAACACTTTCAGGGCCGTGACTGCCTGTGACGGTGGTTGCGAGTCATTGCACATTCGCCCGAACGCCCAGAGCGCCTGGCACCGAGAGGGACCCCCACGGGAACCCTGGGCTCTGGGTGATGAGGACATGTCAGCGCAGGTCCATCTGTCGTAACTAAGGCACGGCTTTGGTGAGGGGTGTGGATATCGGAGGTCATGCATGTCTGGGGCAAAGTTTATGTGGGAAGCCTCTACCTGCCATTCAGTTTTGCTGTGAACCCAAAATTGCTCCTATAAATAAAGTCCATTTTAAAACTCCAGGGAAATGTCATTACGGAACACACTGTTACTTAGCGGTAATAACTCTCCAGCCGGGGAGCCTCTCCGGCAATTACAATGCAGTCCCCCCCTCCCCCGCGTAAACTCATTTCATCTTGTTTTGACTCCAGCGTAAACGCACAACACTTGACGTTTCTGAATTCCCGCACCTGCACTCCTGCCTGCTCTACAGGCTGTGACTGCCAACTCGCTAGTCCTCTTCTTCCCAATAAAGCCTATTGAGTGTAATTGAATTTATTTTTTAAAAGATAAGCTGAGAGCTACCAACGCAGTTAGACATTAGACCTAAGTCAGACCATGAAGGTTCAGTTCCATGAAACAATCCCTACGATATGCTCCTGCCCACAAGGTCAGAGCCTGTGTTCCGGTAACCCCTGGAGGCCCTCCCTCCACATGTACCTTCACATAGCGAAGGCTTTTCACTCAGACGCCGCCTGAAAGTGTCCTAGCGTTTTCCGCCACAAACCGCTGTCCATCTTCTCTAAACCCCAGAAAAGTCGATGTGGGGGTTGCTTCATGCGCATAGGATCCTGCTGGTGCTCAGCTCCCCGAGTCACTGCGCGGGAGCCTGGGCCTCCTCCCCCTGCCCCCCATGCATAGGCGGCAGCTACTGGGCGGCCGCAGACCCGTCTCATATGTGACCTGCAGAGGTCACGGGAGCCTGTCATCCAGCGGGACGCATAGGGGAGAGCACGGCTGGCGGCAAGAACCGAATGGCCCCCTGGACAGGGCCCTCTCGCTGGGCCGATCGCTCGACCGGGAGCGCCATCAGCACTCTCCATGGGCCTTTGAGACATAAAGCGTGTGGCTGTGATGACTGGACAGACGGACAGAACAAAGCAGCTGTTACTCGGAACGACCAGCGCGAGGCCCTCAGGACCCCAGGCAGGGTGTCCATCCTGGAAAGCGGGCCCAGGCATACCTGGAAACGTTTCGCCAAGAGGCAGAATCCAGGCAGCTCAGAACAGAAAGGTTATTTTTTAAAAAGTACAATACGACTTAGAGTGATTTCTGTCATTCTGGCAAAATGGAAGCAAGGCTGGGGGGAAGGCACCCAAGATGGTGCCAATGTTCCCCGGGGTGACGGTTACTGGCACTCTCTGTCTTAGAGGCTGAAGGTCAGCGCTCGCCCGGGGAGGCCGCTCCGCCCTGCGCTCTATCCCATCGCAGGTCCATGACTCAGCTATTGGCACAGCCCCACAGGCTTCTACCCAGCCTGGCCGCGCTTCTCCTTTACTGCTGCTTAATGCTGAGTCTCCCTTGGAGTGGACTCAGCTCTCCTGGCCCCTGTGCTCCCCGTCTCCCCAGCACCAGCTCCAGCTCGCAGCCCCGCCCAGGGGACCAGGAACATCTGGCCAGTGCACAGGCACCCCTGGTCCATGCGAGGATGCTCTGGGGGTGCCCTGACACTCTCCTCTGACCCCCGGAGCTTTGCGTCCCACACCAGAGCCACTGCCGCCCCCAGTTCGTGATGGAGGGAGCAGAAGTGGGCACAGCCCTGAGCAGCAAAACCCAGAGAGGGAAACAGTAGCTGAGAAACCCAGCAGAACCGAAGGGAAAGGGAGGCCCGGCACAGCCACACTGGGGTTCCCCAGGAGTCTACATGGGCTCCCCAAGCCTTTTCAGGAATCTGGGGAACCCATCGGAGCTGCCAACCAGGACACTCCGGCTAATTGTTGCCTGACACCGGCCGCCAGCACCCTAGGGAACGGTTACAGCGGCTGTGTTCCCTGATGCCGGCAGGAAGAAGGCTGCTGGCCGCTGCTGCAGCACGAGGACTGACCGGGGAACCCTTCCCGTTAGAGACATGGGCGGGGCAGCGCAGGCTGTGCCCCTGGGCAGTTGTGCAGACTGAGGGCTGCTCTCTGTGCCTAGAGCTGGGCTCCGGGAGGGAAGGCTCCCAGACACGGTGCTGAGCCTGCTACTCAGCCAGACATCCCACCAGGCCTGCTGCTCTGGGCACCAGGGCTGCCTGGGCGTGAGGACAGCAGGAGCTGTGTGCAATGCTAGTGGATGGAAATACAAATGATTTTTGGATGAAGATGTTGTCACTTCCAAAGTTGCTGAACTCATCTGTTAGTTATAATAGGGTTTATGCGTGTGTGTGCGCATGCACATGTGTATTCCTGAAGATTTTCCATAGATAGGATACGTCATCTCATGAATAAAGACAGTTCAACTTCTTTCTTCCCCACCCAGATGCCATTTTCCCTGCCCAGCTGCCTGGGTTAAAATCTCCCACACAACGTCTACTAGAGGTAGTGGGAGTGAAGGTCCTTGTATTATTCCTGCTCTTAGGGCTGCTGTGGATTTACCTCTGAGGATGATACTAGCTGTGGGCTATTCATAGATGCTTTATATCAGGTTGGAGACATTTATTAGTATTCCTCACTTGTTCCGTGTTTTACCATGAAAGGATTGTTGATTTTGTCAAATACTTATTCTGCATCCATCGAAATGATCTCCCCCATCTTTATTCCATTAACATCCGTGTATCTCATTGCTCTTTTGTTGTTGCTGTTGTTAATCCTCACCCAAGGATATTTTTCCATTGATTTTTAGAGAGAGTGGAAGGGAGGGGGAAAGACAGAGAGAAAGAGAGAGAAACATCGATGTGAGAGAGACACATTGATTGGTTGCCTCCCACACGTGCCCCTACCAGGGCCGGGGATTGAGCCTGCAACGGAGGTACATGCCCTTGACCAGAATCAAAACCAGGAAGCTTAAGTCCGTGGGCCGACGCTCTGAGACAAACCCGTTAGGGCTCACATTGCTTTTTACATGTTAAACCCAATTTTCTTTCTTGGGATAAACCCCATTTGGTCATGCTGGACTCGGCTTCCTAGTATTTTGTTGAGATGTTTGCATCTGTATTCACAACAAACGTCGGTCCGTGGTTCTCTTTCCCTCTGATAACTTTATCTGGTTTGAGTGTCAGGGTCCAGATTACTGTTTTTACATTTAAGTTTTGTGATGATAGCTTAAACATAGACCATAATTTGTCTGGGGTTTTTGTACCCATTAAAAGTTTTTATTTACTTATTTTAAATTTATCTTTAATGTTGAAAATATCACAGATGTCCCCTTTCTTCCCATATTAAATTGTTTTACATTGCATTTCTCCATCTTCAGGTCTAATACCTGTGCAGTCTATTTACTAAGGATTGAAACGTATCTTCGTCCACACAATCAGGCACCTAATGGTGGAGAAGAATGGGTACAGTGGTCACACACGTGGGTGCAAGGCCATGTTTCCGTATCTCAGTCCCCATACGGTTCCCCTCCAGGCCAGGCTGTCTCCTCTCCCTCATCTCCCTACCGTGGGAACGCCCCTTTATGTCTGACCTCACCCATGAACTTCCTCCCTAAAGCCTCTCTCCTCTAGGCTTCTACACCCCTTCCCTGAGGAACATTCAATGTCCTTGTACCTACATGTTTTTGCTGCTGATATTTTTTCTGACTGTTTTATACTTCATTTCATCAGTAGTATCTAATATGTACTCTATTCTTAGTCACAATCCATATATGTTGTTTTTAATTCATCTTTGATACAATGCATGCGACATCTAAAACCTTTCCATTTCCATGCCACTGTCTTCAGCTCGTCAAGCGTGAAGAAGTGCTGTGAATTCTCATAGCTGCCGAACATTTCCACCTGGTCCAACTATATAAGCAAATCGAAGCACGTGAAATGGATCTTACTTGTTGATTTTGCCAAAGGCACATGGAAAATGAGAACCCGGGAAACATAAACTATGCAATAGGTTGTTACTTAAGAGAAACTGGTGAGTGAGAGGCGCCGTTGCCTGGCAGTGGCTCCGGCTCTGGGACAGCAGCGGTACCTGGCGTCAGCAGGATGACCGAGGTGACGATCAGGGAGCAGATGACCAGGATCACGAGCAGCGCGATGGCGATCCCTTTCCAGTTCCTCTGCGGAGGGTTACTCCCCACCAGCTCCTGGAAACAACCACATGGAAGAGACACCCGGTGAGGGAAACGCAGAAACAGAGCGAGCCAAGTCAGAACTCCCCACGTAACTCAAGACCCAAGACACGAAAACCTGGACGAGGCCCACTCTCATCCTTGCAGCGACACGGAGCTCGCTCCTCGGCCTCTGTCTTCCCTGCACCGGAGCAAACCTTAAGGAAGAATTGGAGCCCTGGCCAGTTGCTCAGTGGTTAGAGCTTCGGCCCATGGACTGAAGGGCTGTGGGTTCCATCCCCGGCCCCGGTCTGGGCTTGTGCAGCAGAGGCAACCAATCACGGCCTCTCTCTCACATGGATGTTTCTCTCTCTCCCTCCTGCCCCCCTTCCACTCTCTCTAAAAAATCAACGGAAACATGTATCCTTGGGTGAGAACCAACAACAACAACAAACAAACAACAACAAAAAAGAAAGAATCTGATATTTATTATGTTTGCAGCTTTTGTGTGAACTTATTGTTTCTCCATCCAACAAACTGGGTTCCACAGCACAGAGTAATCATTGTAGAGTTTTCTCTTCTTGCAGCCAAGCCATGAACCCCACAGAATCACCCCAAGTATGTTACATTTCTGGCCCCAAGTCCTCTCTCACCTCTCTCTCACGCACATCACACTGTTAACCTCAGCTACCAAGTCCCATGCTCACTCAGTGCGCGCAGTGTGCCCATTTCAATCACCGCTGCCCGCTGCTCACCACTGAGCCTTCCCTCCTTCTGGCGCTTCTCATGCAAGGCTTGCAGACACCCCAGGTGCGCGGGGACCTGCCTGTCTTTAAGGATACCTCCCCTGTCCCCACGCTGGGTGTCACCCCCCGCCCCGGAACCATATTTGCATTGCAGCAGGGATTGGGGGTGACATCTGGCAACATTGCTAAAGGGATGATAAAGGTTGAATAAATCTAGAAATTAAATCAGGCATACTGACTGCTGAGGCCAAATTTTTAGTTCCTTTCAAATTATTATGATTGTATAATTTACAGTTCAAACGGGGATCCTTTGAGAGACGAAGGAAGTAGTGTTGATAATTAATAGTAAGTTAGAAATAGAATAGGGATATATCAGTAATTAGAATGATTAATTATACAAGGGCGACGGGGTTCTCCAGGGCAAACAGAGTCAGTCACACGGCAGATGGAGGATTTCCAACTCCGCCTATACTAGTACACAGGTCACAAAACATTCCGTTAGAGCCATCGCTGCAACACATGTGCTCCAAGTCAGGATGAAGCAGAATGAGATGACCTCAAAACGCAGGCGACATAATGCACAGACACTTCCTCACCCAAGACCTCGAGTTCTTAGAGAGCCTCAAATTGCTGCAAATCAAAATAAACATGATACTCAACTACGGGGTGGCAAAGAATGAATACCTGGTGCCCAAATATTTAACATGGACTACCCAGGATTCGAATTAAGAAAAATTCAACTCTAAGCAACTGGCATTTACTCTCTAGGTTATCAAATAAAGAAAATTCTGAGTGTCCCAGCAGGTGGTTCAATGGTTAGAACATCGGCCCACGCACAGAAGGGTCTCAGGTTCAATTCCAGTCAAGGGCAGAGACCTCGGTTGCAGGTCCAATCCCAGGCCCCGATTGAGGTATGTGTGGGAGGCAACCAATCACTGTGTCTCTCTCACATCGATGTCTCTCTCTCTCTCTTCCCCGCCTCCCTCCCTCCCTTCCACTCTCTCTAAAAATCAATGGAAAAAATATCCTCCTGGGAGGGTTACCAAAAAATAAAAAAATAAAAATTCTGTTAGCCATTATAGTCTTAGTGGGAAATAGTTCTACTGCTGTTTAGAAATTTCTACCTGTATTCTTGTCATCCAAAATTTATCTATTAAGAAAGTGGCCTTTCAGCCCTTAAAAATGAGACTAAACATAAGCACGGAATCAGGACAGAATGTTACACTGAGACAACCTCGCTTCCTGTTTTCTATATGAACGTCGATGCCCAGAAGTGATAGGATCTTGCTGATGCATCAGCTTGTCCCTTCGCCCATGATTACAAAGGAAATACGCCCTTTTCATCAACTTTGCGAGTAGCATGAATCCTGAAGCAGCACCATGCCTACAACCAACGATGGGGGGACAATCTCACAGACATTCCTGAACCCTGATCAGATGAAATCCATGGTCACTGTCCACAACCAAATACATGACCACTGACCACCGAGTCTCCAAGGTCTGGGAAGATACAATGAATGTGCCAGTTTCATCAGCTGGAACAAGTGATCTATTTTGAATTTTGTTTCCTAGAAGAAGAATCTAGAATTCTAAACTCTACTTCAAACACATCTATTAGATGTTTATATGCAAAAAAAGTCGAGGACTGGCTTTCTGTCAATTTCTTGACCAGCGAGGAGTGTTGTAGCCCAGCCCCCTTGACATTTTAACCTCCTTGGTATTTGTGGAGCTAGAAGTGATTTAGTTCTTAATTAGGACTGAGGTATAGACTTTAACTGTGTTCCCGCTGCTGTGGCTGCCGTGTGGCTCAGAGTGGCAGGTCGGAAGCATGTCAGCCTGTCTGCAGGCCTGCCTGGGTAGCCAGTTCCAGGGGAAACATTTAAAAGTGCACTTTGCTTAAAGAACAGAGAAATATAGCTGGTTAAGCACAAGACAAAACCTCAAGCCACAGTGATAGTCACAGGATGCCTACTTTCTGCTTGAAAGATAACGCCGCTGACGTGCAATTGTGAGCCGTTTCGCAGATCCTGGGTCCCCAGCCCGGCCCTCACTCTGTATCAGCGGAGGAGAGAACAGCGAGGCAGAGTCCGATGTGAAAAGCTTACCTGTGGCTAAGACACGGGCTTCTCTCTGTTCCCTGACCCCCCCCCCCCAACTCCTCAGCTGCCAAACGCCCCGAGTTTGCTTTTGGGGAGAAGGATTTGCCAGGTCTTGCTCTCCTGTCCCCCCGCCTCGGCCAAACCGATCAACCTCTCTCTCCAAACAGTGTCTCAGGTCTCGCTTCGCCTGTGCACCGGGCGTGGCCCTGACTTGTGGGAGGTGGTTCTGCAGCAGGGAAACCGATGTCCTGTGAAAGCGCCTTGAACAACGCCGGCAGCCACCCAGCCTCTGACGTCGCCAGCATGCCCCTCCCTGGCCCAGCGCCCACAATATGACCTCCAGGACTAGGCTGGGCAGCGCCACAGATAATGACAGAGAGAGTGTCTACAGTACGGGGTGGGGCCAGAGTAGGGTTACAGGTGTTCGCATGGGAAACAAGACAATAGTAAATAAATAGTAATGCAACCGAAACTCTGGCCCTGGCTGGTGTGGCTCAGTAGGTTGAGTGTCATCCCAGGCACCAAAGATCTCTGGTGTGATTCCCGGTCAGGGCACATGCCCGGGCTGTGGGCTTGGGCTCAGTCCCTATAGAGGGTGTGAAAGAGAAGCCGATTGATGTTTCTCTCTCTCTCTCCCTCTCCCTTTCCTTCTAAAATCAATGAAAACATATTTTAAAAAAGAATAAACTCTGTTTCGCATACTCACAACTGTAAACCCACTTTTGCCCCACCCGTGTAACCAGGAGACAGAGGCGCTTACAAAACATGTCCTGGGAAGGAAGGTGAAAGGGCGTTTAGACTCAGAAACCGAAGATTCATGCGCTCGTGTATTTGAATCGCCAGGTGGAGGCGAGAGAAGACGAATGCTGTCCCTCCAGAGGCAGAGTGAGAACCAGAGCCAGGACTGAGTGTCAGCAAGACCTCAGGGTTCAACCCTCCGTGCACGTGGCTGGCATGGCAACTGCCAGGGGGTGCGCAGGGGGCGCTGGTCTTCCGGGGGGGCGGGGGCGAGTCATCCCAACACAGTACCCTTCTGTGGACACCGCAGGGTAGAAGCCAAGTGCAGGACTGAAGTTGCTCCCTGGGTGGAAACCTGAAGGAGGAGGCGAACAAGGTGGCCTCCCCCGGACTCCTGCTGTGGAGACTGTATGAAAGGCCAGTGCAGTGCACTGCTGCAGGGAGGGCGCGGCCACAGGAGGGATACGGTGTGGGCCATTCCCGCCATTTCTAACAGATGCCACATACTGCCTTTCAGGCCACGCTCTGACATTCAGACACACACGGTGACTTTACCCACAGGAAAGCAGGCACTTTTTATTTTTTGTTAATCCTCACCAGAGGATTTTTTTTCATTGATTTTTAGACAGGTTGGAAGGAAGGAAGGAGGAGAGGGGAGGAGAAGAGAGGGAGGGAGGGAGGGAGGGAGAGGGAGAGAGAAAGAGAGAGAGAGAGAGGAGAGAGAGAGAGAGAGAGAGAAAGAGAGAGAGAGAGATGAAAGAGAAACATCGATTGGTTGCCTCCTGTACATGCCCCACAGGTACATGCCCTTGGCCGGGAATCAAACATCAAACCCAGGACCCTGGGTGCACGGGGCTAACGCTCTAACCACTGGAACATGGCCAGGGTGCAGACATTCTTTATTAATTTGCCAAATTTCATTTTTCAGAGGGTAGGTAATTTGTTCTCCACACAAACAATACTGTAACAATAATAATAGGAAGTCAATTAAAGAAAATCACAACTATCTTGTTAATCCAAAAAAACAACATTTTTCACTTTTTTCCAACTTTCTTTCTAGTCCTGGTCTACATGCACATTTAATTTTTACGTATATAACCAGAGCACAGGTGCGGTTTTTTAGTTTGAATGCAGGGTAATATGTTTCTTTGAACATGTAATTTGGGTACCACATTCAGATTTCCTCATCTGAACTTTCAGAAGTTGAATTATTAAAAATTTGAGTAGAAGTGATCCTGCTTCCCATGAAGGGCAAAGGAAGTTAGTAAATTATCCCCTGAGACACTGAGCTTCAGTAATGTATTTCTTAGTAGAATTACAGGTTTTTGCCTAGAATGGTAAAAATGAGACTATAATGTATTCCCTGTTCCGTTTGGTACCACAAACATGCCTTAGAAATCTGATAAAATGGGAAAGCATGCTGACAACCATTTTCTCTAAGGTGAACAATCTT